CAAAGAGAAAGGAAAACTTGAAATCGCATCATATGACCCCTCTAATATCATTAATGAATCAGTCATTGACTCGGTCATCATTCGATTTGTTCAAACTGCTGATTTATTCAGAAACGAATGAAACAAACGAATGTGTTTGTTGATTAAAACAGACATTTCTGCTGTGGCTTTATATATAATATTTTCTTAGGTAAAATTGAGCAAGAACAGGCAATGCTGTGTTTACAAACTGTGTGTGTGTGTGTGTGTGTTTTACAGTTTAGCAGTTGTTTTTGAAAAGTAATTTCCCCATATGGAGAAAATGAATGGAGTTTTTACTTCCAGAACATGACACTTGTGATCTTATACAACAAGCCATGCTGCAACTTTCCACCTAGAGAACTCTCCCAACCACAGCTGGGTCAGACTAACATGTCTGAAGTTCCAGATGCTTGTTCAATGGCCAAGGCTATGCAATATCATACAATTGACTAAATTAAAGTTTAGCATAAGCTGTGGACCCCTTGTTAACAAGGTGCTGATGGTTTTGCTCAGGTGGTTAACTGACTTTTAACCTTTTCATAGCTTCATTCCACTGTTTCCGTTTCGGTTTCATTCATTCACTCTTACTTTTACTTTCAGTTTATCCATGTATGTATGATTGTATGTATGTGTTTGTTTAGACTAGCTATGTATTCGTGTTTTCTGGCTACGAAAATAAAATTTCTTTGGATTTGATATAAAAAAATTATACTGAATGTTCACTGGAAGAGCAGAGTATTTGATTGTAATATTAATTCTGCTACAGTTACTTCTGGCAGCTGTTCGAAATATTTACAGTTAATTATAACCAGTTATATTTACCTTTTGAGCTAATTTTCTACACTGTTGTGTTTTCTGATTTGTGAATTTCATTTGCACTTCAGGGTCACCGTAGTTAGGGTATGCTAATTCTTATGGCCTGCCCAACTACCAACACTTACATTCTAGGCCGCTTGAGTGTGTCCCATCGGGTAATGAAAAGTTCTACACACATTTGCGGTCTTCATGCCCACTTGAACACTTGGGCCAAACACAGGAAATACGACATGTTGGTCATGTAAGAAGACAAGTGGTCAAATGCAAGTATGGGTATTTGGACAAGCCCTCAGTGTTTGTTTTACTCCCATCCTGCACCTGGTTAACAGTCAATCCACACTCAAACACATAGTGCAGGCGTCAGTGCTTCCACTTTTTAAAAGTGTAGCTCGTTCGCACCAATATATCATAAGAAAAGTATGAATGGTGTTCATGTTCTGCAACAGGAGAGGGCGCAACACGTAAGTTTATAGCTTATGTATACAAACACTAAGTCTTTATTTTACAACCACATTCTGATTATTTGTGTAAAAGTAAACTTAAACATACCACAACATAATGAAACCTACACATTTGTAACCACACACTCTGTATACTTATACGTATGTTGTTTTTAATCTGTGTTAGTATTTGTACTGTGACTGTTTTAGCTGGAACATAGAATCTGACGTGCTTATATTAAAGCTAGTTAATATTAGAGTTTATCTAGAGGCCATACTGACAATTTTTGGCGTGGTATATTAATTCTGGGTATAATTGCAAACATGTATAGTTTTTTATTCATGTTTGTCTGATTTGTTTAACGTGTTATTCATATTAGTTAATTACATTTTTTTAAATGTATTCTATCATTTATTTAACTCAAAGTTAAAAATTCTCTGCTTTAATCAAAAACAACAAAACTGTCAGTTTTACAATATGAAAACCTGTAAACTTGAGACTTTAACTCATCTCTTTATAAGGTTAATTAACCATGTCATGAATTACTAAAACAGGCATACTACTGAAATGAAGTTAAATACATGTGTTTTTGTACACCACCTCACGCACTTGTCTTACTGTGTCTCTTGCACAGTAGTAAACAGCAGTGTCTTCAGTTTTCAGACTGCTCATCTGAAGGTACAGCTGATTCTTGTTATCATCTCTTGAGATGGTAAATCGTCCCTTAACCTTGTCAGAATAGTAGATATAGCTATTGCCATTAGATAATGTTGCTACCCACTCTGGTCCTTTCCCAGCAGCCTGTCTGATCCAAGCCATCCAGGAGCCACCAAAGTTAAAACCAGAAGCAGTACAGGTCAGTTTATGTGACTCTCCTGGTTTAATGACTACAGCATCAGATTCCACCAGTGTCTGGCTCCTGCAATCTGAAAATTGAGAAATCAGCAGAATTTAGAATCATTATTGCATATTGCTGTGCAAATTATAGTGTGCACTGGAAAATTTTAAGTTTTTAACAATCTTTTTGCAGTACCATGTAATGAAAAGATCATTAGCACAACAAAGAAAATCGTTCTCTGCTTCATTATTAACCTGTTGTCATAAGAAGTTGTGGTAGAAATGCTGCAGACGGGGAGGAGTGGAGGTATTTGTGTTTCTAAATAGAGTGTGATGAGAAATACTTTGCATACTTGGGGTGCCATCCAGTGGCTGAAATATAAAGAGAAAGGTGAACCACCTGAAATATCTAAATCTCAGAATTCTCACTGACTCTCTTGCAGCCCAGTCAGTGCTTCAGTTGCCACTGTCAAAAAGAAAACACATTTGTTACTGTAAGCTACTATAATCAGGTTGATACGCACATTCATTGATTTAAAAAAAAATCTATTTACAGTAGATGTTAGCACATTTTAATCTGCCTGGCAAAACTTTTTGTGTACTTTTTTCCTGCTGACAAAACTTAATGAAATCTGTAAGAATGTACTCTTTACAGAGTTTTTCATGCTCTGTTTATGTTTGTCAATGTTCAAGTGATTATGACTTTCTATATTTCACTGGATAGTTCTAATGATTTTTTTCATGCTTCTCTCCAATGAAAGCAACAGAAATCAGTTTATCAGACATTAACAATTTTAAAATGATTTCACATTTGCCCTTACAGTAAATGTCTTGTAATGTAGTTTGATTATTTGTTACATTATGAATATAACAATCCATATTTCTGCAAAACCTGCTCCTTCATTAAATCATCAGTAAGTGCATTGTGTTCTGATGGTCTTTATTTGAATTAGTTTGCATATGTATTTAAAACATGTTAAAACATAATAAAACATATCATATTTAATTTGTGTGGGAAAGTGACCAGTAAAGCTGACAGAGAGTCCTCAAAGAGAGCAACTCTTTAATTCCCCAGAGGTATGAATGTTCTAGTCACGTCTGACTGACTTCACAAACACCAAACAGGTTTTTGATGAGTGCTGCAGTCTTTTGCATAACTGTGACTCTCGTGCACAGTAATAAACAGCTGTGTCTTCAGTTTTCAGACTTTTTATCTCCAAGTACACCATGTTTTTGCTGGTGTCTTTTGTGATGGAGAACTGTCCCTGTAGAGACTGAGCAAAAATAGTGCCAGTGCCACTGTCAATACGCCCAATCCACTCCAGTCCTCTCCCTGGTTTCTGACGGATCCAGTGCAACCAGCTAAGGGAGAGTCCAGAAACCACACAAGACAGTGTGACTGATTCTCCGGGTTTCTTTACCTCAGAGCCAGAGGAGGTCAGTGACTGACCATGTGCATCTGGAACAAAGACAGAATGTTTGTGTAATTACAACTTTGGAAATGTGTAAATGTTCACATTCAAAACCTTTTTTAATAATATATTTTTTAATGGTAAACAGATTTCAACTTACATGAAACGAGTACGAGCAGAGTAAAATAACTCAGATTCATCTTCAGATCAATGCAGTTCCATGCAAAAATTATGCTTCTGGTGTTTGATGAAGCTTTTAAAAATCCAAGTGTTTATTAGTGAGAACTGACTGTACTTTATATTTCAGACTTAATTTGAATAAGGGAGGGTCTTTAAAAACTCAATCTGCTGCACTGCCCTCAGGGTCCCAGCGTTAATCACAATTCACCATATATATATATATATATATATATATGTATATATGTATAACCCTGACTACTTTATTTCTATCATAACTGTGTTGTTTTTACGTTATTATTTTATTGGTGCTGAAGACATTTCAGGCTATATATTCTGTATTACATGAACAATATTATGGTGCGTAAATGATGACAATTTAACAGAAGTAAATTTACTTAAAAAATAAGTGCTTTACTGTCAAGTGCATTTCTATGTGACAAAAATGCAATATTAAGTCTGTTAACTATTTGCAGGACATTCAATAATATCTATCATTATTTTTTATGTCATTTTTTTTTTTATTAAACCCATTTACTCCATTTTAAGGCCAAATTGTAGCCCCAGTCCAGCCCTGTATACACTCAATCCACTCCAGAGCTTTCCCTGGTTTCTGTCTTATCCAGTGCATGCTGTAATATGTCATTTTAAAACCAGATATTTTACAGGAGATCTTCACTGTTTCTCCAGGTCTCTTTATCTCAGCAGGTGACTGATCCAACCAGATTTCATCACCGCTGATACCTGTGGAATAAAAGACAAAAATACATGAATGAAGAGCTTTTATTAATCAAAGTGCTAGACGAATACACACATATCAAAATAACCTTGCTGTGATAGAATCACCATAAAGATGAAATGCTCCATGACTCCATTGTCAACATGTTTGCTAGATGTTACTCAGATGCTTCTGCTAAAGGTAAAGACGTGACAATGAAGATGATGTCTGGAATTGTTCATTTAGACTCCACTCTAGCCATGTTTTCTTCTTTCCATGTGATTTAATTACGTTCTCAGTACTCTAGTTTTGATTATTTATCAGAATTTATATAATTTTTTCAGAAACAGGTTGTTTTAAATATAGGTAAGAAACTCCCTCTTGTCTCCCTCTGCTAAAATACATACAATACACATTTATTAGTATTGTGATATATTTCTACAATACGTTTCTATATTGTTTTCTATTATTAGTTACGTTTATTGTTTAAAGGGATAGTTCACACAAAAATGAAAATTCTGTCATTAATTACTCACCCTCATGTTGTTCCAAACCCATAAGACCTTCGTTCATCTTCGGAACACAAATTTAGATATTTTTGATGGAATCTGAGAGCTTTCTGACCCTTTCATACAGTATATATACATATATACTGTATATATACATATATACATTTATATATATATATAAAGAGCAAATATCTTTTCAGGGACTCAGAATAGTAATATCAAATGTTATAACATTATGGCTACTTAGTGTGTGTGATAATGTGTCTGAATGTGATCCTGAACATGAAGCAGGTCATTAGTTGTGTGTTCGTAACTGTGTTGATGAGCTGCAGATCTGTTTTTGTCAGTTTCTCACACTGAACTGATCCACTGTGTCTGTCTTTGCACAGTAATACACAGCTGTGTCTTCAGTCTGCAGGCTGCTGATGTCTAAGTACAGCTCATTTCGGCCCGTGTCTCTAGAAATAGTGAAGCGACTCTTGAAGGAATCCCCAGAGTCTATTGACCCACTGCCCCATATGATCCCGATCCACTCCAAGGCTTTTCCAGGAGGCTGCCTGATCCAAGCTGTGCCATAGTCTGTGAGGGCATATCCAGAGATCTGACAGGACAACCTCACCGACTGACCAGGAGCTTTAGTCTGTGTAGGAGACGAGGTCAGTGAGATGCCAGAAACATCTGTAAAAGAGAACAACACAGAGTCAATATCATTTAATCTGTTTCTAACTAGATAGGTATTTGTATAAATACAGTCAGCAACAAAAAGATTCACACCGATGTGACTGACTGAATGAATCAACTCACATGGCAAAAAGGCAAATAAAATGAGTAGAGTTTGACTCATGATTGATTTCAGAATCAGACAGTAAATCCACACAGCTTTATCCTAGTGTTAGTGGACTGCCCCTCTGCTGGAGGAAACTGACCCTCTTATTCTCTCATGGTGAATATTTGCATATCATTACCCGAGTTAAATATGATTTTGAAGCTTGAATTTCAGTGAGCTAAAATGCTTTCATACAGGGCTTGCATCTTTGCTTTGCATAGGCCAAATGGTAACACTTTTTTGTGTTTAATTTTTTACTAGTTGAGTTGAACTATCCTGTTAGCTATCCTGTGTCGTGTTTGAAGAATCAATACATTAATGATAATATAATCATAAATTATTATTTTTTTTACACATATACACTGTAAACCCTAATAAGTTGAGACTACTCAAATTATTTTAGGAAAGTGTGATTCCCTCGGTTTAATGAGTAATGGGAAATTGACAACTCAGTTTAATTGAGTTCACCTAATGTGGTCTTCTCATTGAATTAACTGTTTTTTTTAAGTACAGATTACTTAAAAGGCAAACAGACTAAACTCAAATGTTCCAGTTTATATATTGTTGTGTTTATTGGCTTTAAGAAATTTATAAATCATTAAAACAATTTTTTTCTTCACATCAACAACTTTATTTGGGTTTTACAACATTGATGAATTTCGATGATGTATACTGACTTAACTGCATAATAACATTCAATCAAAAAAAAAAAAATACAATTACAATACTTGGAGTATCAGAACAATGAAAAGCACATTGAACAACAACAGACATGTTTGTCACCTACATTAATGTAATTAACAGAAACAATACTTTTATAAGCTCATATTGTTAAGTCACATTTTCAACAGAAACACTTTAACAGTCACCAAAATGTGAATCTGTATGGGGCATAGAAATTTGCACAGTATATGGGAATGGTAGCTATTCAAAGTGTGCAAAAAACCCCCAATAATAATAAGTTTTTTTTTTACATTTTTACCAAATAGGTTTGCCAAAGATTGTATTTTAGGCTGCAGGTCTTTCTGCCCCAGGGAAAGTAGAATACATTGAACACATCAAGGATCATGGCTGCGATCATCGGACATCTAGAGATATGGAGCATAGAAATTTGCACAGTATTTGTGAAAGTGTTTTTTTTACATTTTTACCAAATAGGTTTGCCAAAGACTATTTTAGGCTGCAGGTCTTTCTGCCCCAGGGAAAGTAGAATACATTGAATACATCAAGGATCATGGCTGCGATCATCGAACATCTAGAGAAGATGAATAAACATCAACAAATTAAAATTGATTCACATGCATCCAAACTCACGTACATTTCAAAAGGTGCAAAATAAAGGGATATTTCACTTAAAAATTAAAATTTGCTGTTAATTTACTCACCCTCAAGCCATCCAAATGTGACTTTTCTTCTTCAGTTCGACACTAAAGAAGATTTTTAACTGAAACTGTGGTCCTTGGTGATTCATATAATGCAGGTCAACGGCTCCTGGCACTATGAGAGTCAAAAAAACATACACAGGAAAAACTAATTTAATATTGTGGCTCCTGACGATACATTGAGGTCTTATGAAGTATAGTGAGTAAATTAACAGCAACTTTTCATTTTTAGGTGAACTATCCCTT